CTGTGGCCTCTTAGTGGGTTTGTTTTTTCTTCTGTGGCATGAGTCTGGAATACTCGCTCTATGAAGTCCTTTAATTTGAAGATATACTGTGAGTTATTCCCAAATTCCATTGAAGCAGTGGTTGTGCGGGCTCAGCCAAGCCTCTTGCTTGCTCAAGGCTTCCATTGCTCTCCACACCTTCCTCATGCATGTCCACACTATATTCATGCACATGGTTTCTTGGAATTTTACATAAATATTTAATGGCATACTAATTACTCAGCTTCAAGGAAGGTTTCTCTCTAAACATTGAATAGGTCTCTTGTCTGCAGACTGTGCTTGTGATGTAAAGTGACCTGGAATTCGTAGCCAAGCTTTGTTGTACCCAAAACCTGCACAGTGCCAACATCCACTGGTTTAAATTACAGAAATGTACATCTGTTTGTAAAACTTAACGTGTTTAGCAAAAAGAATAGTGAAGATGAAACTGCAGGGGATATATTATGATGGAGTGACTAGTAATTGTTTCTGGAGCACCATAGATAGAACCCTGTAGTACATTTCAAAGCTGGTTCCTCTAACTTATTTCAGTACAAGAGCAAAATAATTTCTTTCAACTGTGAATTTATTTTTCCCATCTCTGCTAGTGTTATATGGGCAGGTACAAAAAGTTATCAAGGTGCTAACTGAAGCAGCTGTGATACTGATTAAAAAAAATTCTAATTGGACCCTGCATTGAGCTAAAATCAGAGTATGCTGTAACAGAAGTTCTCACAGAACAGTGGAGATGGGAAGGCACCTCTGAGATCATCCAGTCCAAGCCCTCTGCTTGAAGCAGGGTCACCTAGAGCTGGTTACCCAGGACCATATCTAGTTGAGTTTTACATATCTCCAAGGATGGAGACACAAACCCCCCACCCCAACCTCTCCGGAGGTTGTTTCAGTATTTGATCACCCTCAGTGAAGAAGGTTTTTTTCTTCTGTTTAAATGGAATTTCTTGAATTTCAACTTTGCCTGTTGACTGAGGACCACTGAAAAGAACCTGTTTCCATCTTCCTTGCACCCTGTGTTCAGGTATGGGTAAGATCCCCCTGAAGCTTCTCTTCTCTAGGCTAAACAGTCCTAGCTCTTTCAGCCTTTCCTCCTATGTGAGGTGCTCCAGTCTCTTAGTCGTCTTTGTGGCCCTTTGCTGGACTCTTTCCAGTATACCCACATCTCTCTTGTACTGGGGTGCCCTGAACTGAACCTAGCACTCCAGATGTGCCTCATCAGTGCTGAATAGAGGGGGAGAATCACCTCCCTCAACCTACTGTCAGTGTTATTCCCAGAGCAGCCCAGTAGGCTGTTGGCCGTAGGTGCTGCAAGGGTGTGTTGCTGGCTCATGCTCCACTTGGTGTCCACCAGGACCCCCAAGTCATTTTCAGCTACTCTGCTTTCCAGACTGTTGGCTACCAGCATGTTCTGGGGCATGGGACTGATCCTCTCCAGGGGCAGGGCTCTGCACTTCTTTTTGAACATTAACTTCAGCATCAGCTTGAAAAGGAATTGATAATGGGTAGCATTTATGGTGCAGATTACAAGGCAGTTCTCTCAGTGGTCAGTGAGAAGAGCTGCTTATCAGATATTTTTTAATAGAAAATATTTGTATAAAATTTTATTCTTTCTCAGAGTATGTAAATGGGTTATATTTTCATAGAAGGTATGATGTTGGACAGAATTTGAGAGGCTTGGATTATATAGCCCCTCTCAGCAATGGGTTAGGAGTTATTCCCCAATTGCACTAAGTGGCTTCAAAGCCACAGTGGTGCTTAATAGCAAAGTCATTAAGTCTATCAAGATCTTTCATCGCTGTCTCAAGTACTTTGCAATATTCTACCAACCAGCATCCTTTAATTCTTTTATGAAATTAAGCTCCTGTTAGAATGAGAGGCTTACCTCTGAGCTGATTCTAAAACTGATGTTTCAGAATAAATGTGGAGTAAAGCTTTTTTTCTCCAGGAGATTTTAAATTAGAAATCTCTAGGCATTCTCTGTTGCAATTAAGTTCTATCCAGCTGTCACTGGTACTTTTTGAAATGCTCAGGTTATTTAGCTGTTTTATATCTGTGTTTCTGACCCTGGAATATCATGTTCATTTAAGAGTTGATCCTGAGCTGCAGAGCAAAAGTCAATTTCTTCTGATTTGTTTGAACTTTTTAAAGCTTAGTAAGACTTTGCTGTAGAAATTCAAAAGACTTTGTTGTTTTCAAAGGAGGGCAGAATATAATGTGGTGTGTTGGTGCTATCTAGCCCTGTCTGTCCTCAAACAGTGGTGATGTGGGCTTGCTCAGCATGCTCTGGGAGGGCGCCTCAGCTGCAAACTAGAGGGAATACCTGGGGATTAAATGTTTGTGCCTGTTCCATCCTTAACTCTCTGCCGGTTAGAGAGGCATGTACTTAATGATTTGGCTTTCTGTGATCAGTACCCTGGTCTACAAAGAACTAACTCGCTTTCTAGGGCTATTAAGTGTGAAAGGGAGCAATGTGCCATGGCTGCACAGTATGCCTTGCTTCGGTCTTGCACCATGACCCCCAGGAGAAATGGTGAAGAAGAGCTGACAGGCTGGGGGATGCTGCCCTAGAAAAGCTGAAGAGCTGCTACTATGCTTGTGTGCACGTTTGCTGCCTAGGGAAAGCCCAGTGCTACCTTTGAGTAGGAGGAAGGGTAGTTGGTAGAGGGAGCTGCATTGACCAGCCAAGGGCTTCACATCTGAAGGTCCATAGCTTGTTTTATGGCATTTAATTTTCGGTTGATATCCTGAACTGTGTCTTGCAGGTGTAGAATACAAAAAGAAAGAAATGTTGATACCTTGGTTTAGTGTGTGTGTGTGTATGTATGTGTGTATGTGTATATATATATATATGTATATATTATTTTAAATGTTGTATAGGTAGGTAACTGTTGCAGTTGCATGTGATACAAGTATTCATTAAATAACTTGAGATCCAACTAGAATGCTATAGGCAAAATCATTATTTCGTGTGTGTTATCTTGCATGTTTTGACACCAGTTTTCTTCTGTTTACCTACTAATCCATTTGAAAATGGTTTTCTTGGTTTTGAGAGCATCTTAACAATCCTCCTCTGAAGTAGCTGATTTTTAGTTAGTCAGGATATGGACTGAACCTGTAAAGTCTTGAAGGCAGCGTGCTAAAGTTGCCTGAAGAAAATAATAGCAGCAAAAGATCTTGGCATTTTTAATGTTTTTCCACAAATTATTTATTCTTTGCTGATTGAACTAGGATGTGAAAAGAAGTTTAATTTCAGGCACGTACACAACATTGAATTTTCCCAACTTTAGCGAGTCTGCGTACTGTATCTGAAATCTGCTGGAGGTGAGTTTGTCTATGCAATTAGACATGGAAGCTATTGGAGACACTAATTTCTAAAGAAAAAGGAAAGATTAAACAAGCTTGATTAAGTAACCCATTGCTGCTCTCCTTTCCCACCACTTTTCAGCTCCTCCAAGGGACCACTGTACACAGTTTCTGGGTCCATGAGACCATGTGAGCTCTGGGGTTTGGTCATATGGGCAGCCTCACAAGTTGTCTTTCTCCCTCTCCTGCCATGCTTTTTCTCCTTCTGATTTCTTCCTAGTAATGCCTTTGTAAAACATTGATTTTTACAATTAAATGCTTTATTAAAGTGTTGTCTGACATTGGGGATACATTGTGGAAATGACAACTTAAAACAATTTGTAGTGTGCCATAAATCAAATATTCTAATGGAGGAGCAGCTGGTGAGGTGTGGGGTGGGAGGTGCTTGCTGAGAAACCTGGGACAAATCCCTCCAGAAGTGGTGACCACAAGCTCAGAGCTCAAGCTGGGAGCTGGATGCTTGCTGGATTCAGGCTCTCTCCCTCACCCTGTGTGGCCTAGACTTCAGAGCCAACAGCGTTTGATGGAGGAGGATGGCCGTGGAGCCCATCAGCGTGTCTGGACAGCTGTTTTGCTCTTTGTAAGAAACAGTGGTAAACGTGGGTGCTGCAGAGTGGGACTTCTGATTTACATGCCTGCTTAATAAATCAAATAAAATAGGTCAGAGAGCTGAGTTTCTGTTCTATCTTCTTAACCCAAGTGATTCTTGTACCAGATGTAGGTCCATTGCATCTGAAATTTATTTCTTGTTGGCAGGAATAAGGAAGAAGCTATATGAGTACAGTGCCTGTGGGAGCCCAGGCAAGGTGGATGAATGTGAGCGAGGCACGTGTGTACTGGGTCTGAGTGACTAAATCAGACAACCAGCAACAAGGAGAGGAAAAATTGAGAGGCAGGGCAAGGTGTAATGAGCTGGCTGTGAGGTTCATATGAAATACTGTGAACCCTTTCACGGAAATGCCCCTCTGCTTGGGCATTTGCGTGCCACAGGTGTTGTGCCTGTGCATACTTGTTACTTGCCATTTTTGCTGGTATTACTCTGTATTCTGGAAGATTTGCAGTGCAAGTAATTAAAAACAAATAGCAAAACGTAAGCAGATCAAAATTTATCTCTTGGTCACTATGGTAACTGAGTTCACCATTGGATTTTAATTCTGCATGCTCTGTCTGAATTTCAATGCCCTTGTCTTGAGGATGGTTTATATTTGAAAATGAGGAAAGCACAGAGGCAGCTTAGCTGTTTATTTCAAGTCAGTCTTTCTCCAGGCAAATTGACTAAATACTGGACGGGGGGAATGGTCTGTTAATGGCATATTTTTTAAAGCTGAAAGCTGCTGACAGCTAAGGGAACTTTATATTCTTAGTTTGATGTTTGTTTATTTTAGTTTCAGAGTTACTTCACTCTCAGTAGCAAACTCAAGCTGCTAGGAAATGGTGTTTTTTTCCTTTCCCAAGGTATAGCAGCACTGGAACTTCCTCCACTGTCTTCTTGAAGTGACAAGAAAATGACTCTGTAAAACAAATACGTTTGTTTCAATACCAAGTTAATAGGAATGTATTTATCACTGGGATAAATCTTGATTATTATTTATTGTACTTTTCAGGTGCTGCTAAATCCAGTCCAGCTTCTAAACCAGGATCAACACCTTCTCGTCCATCTTCAGCAAAAAAAGCCACACCAAGCAGCTCAGCATCCAAATCAGATAAAGATTTGGAAACTCAAGTCATACAGCTCAGCGAACAGGTAAATTTGATTTAGGCATAAAATTAGATGCATTCATTGTCACAGGAAGGCGTGAAATCTAATATTGCCCACTGTTGAATGATGCTGTCCAGAATTATGAAGGGACAAAAGATTGAAATAGCTCAACTGGGAAGTAAAAAGCAATTTATTGTTAAAAATAACATCTTACAGAGATGGCTGGTGTTTGCCAGTATTTTTAAAATGTGATCTTGACAGCTAAGTCTTGCTAAATATGATAATTTTATCAGATTTTTAAATATATCTTTTATTTCACTTGAATAGGAAAAATCCCAGTAGTGTTTGTGTATTACAAATTTTAAATAAATTTTAATGTGATGTTGTGAAGAAAACAATCCTGTCTGTAATACCAAGGTGTTAGAGATTTGCAGCTGAACTGAGACTAGCTCATTGCACTCTGCCTTCTGGAAGAAAGGCATTAAGAAAGTAATATGCATTTTTCATTTAAAAATGTGATCTACCTTTTTCAGAATACTTAATTATATTACATTTCATTTTCTGCAATATAGTTAATAAAGTTTCAGAATTTCTTTAATGTTAGGGAAGGTAGGGGCTTAATTTTCATTGATGCTATGGAGCTTTACACCACTTTGTCATTCCTGGACATGCAAGAATGTCTGCACTGAACATGAATAAATAGCTGCATCTGGCTCAAGACTGTCCTGTCAGAACGGTGTAAATGCCACTAGTATAAGTGAGGCCTATTCCTTGTATTTGTCCTGGATGAGGGAACATGGAAAAGGAAAAACCTCATATTTTAGAGCCTGAGTTTCCCTGGCAGCTGCATTCAGGAAGAAGTCATTATTCTGGATCAAGTTAAATTTTCCACAATTAAGGGCATTTCAGTTTCAGATTTTCATTGACTTGAACAACAAAGATTTCAGTTTGGGGCACTGTTTGCAGATTCTTGGTTACTTTTATGCACTTAAGGGTGGTAGATGGATAGCCACATCCTAAACACAGTGTACTGCAGATTCAAGGTACAATTCTGAGCAGCAGAGTGCACAGCAGGGTCCACCAGCCTTCCAAATGGGCTTCTGATTGTTGCTGTAACAGAAAAGATTTTAAATGTTGCACAAGAAATGCATGTATATATTTGTCATGTCATCTTTTTTTTTAAAATCGGTGTAAGAGTGGAGCTCAAACATTGGCTTAACGCAACCATGATGGTTGTACTCAGAAGTCAGAATGTGTTTGCTTCAGGAGGAAGAGTTGGTTGGGATCTGAGCAACATAAAAATATTTGATCTTTACTAAAATAAGCAGACACTATCACATCCACTGCTAATGTATTCCTAGCACTTTCCATGTGTGAAAACCTGAAGCTTTATATACAAATAAGCCTGAGGGAAAACTGATGATTTCCCCCATCACCAAAGAGAAGAAATATTGAGGATTTGGAAAGTTGGTGTTTCAATAGTTAGTTTATAAGAGACCTCTTCTAACTAGAATGGTCTGGAAAGGTTTTTTTTTAAGGCTGGCAGCGTTTGGTATCTCATTTCCCACTAATGGTTACTTGTGCACACTGGGCATATAATACGAGCCAAAAAAGTTATGCTGCAAGCAGCTCTGAGCCAGGTTTTTCTGACCTTCAGCCTGAACATGCTGGAAGAGCGAAACTGACTGTTTTTTACCACTCTCCAGCAACAAGGGACATGAGGGCAGCAGCCACTTTTATGCAGTTGCTGTCTTGATTATGAGTAAGAAATGTTGAATGGTGTCTGGATAGCAAATTCCTGTATGGCCATAAGAGACTTTTTTTTTTTTCAGCCTTTTCATGGACGGCAGCTAAGGGAGATTGAAACATCTGAACTTCCATGCAATTTGTAGTGGAATATTTTAAGTAGCAGGGCTGTCCATACACTATATTTTACTATAGGGTAGCTTAATGAGGTATTTGCAATAATCGTAAGCCATCCATAACGTTTGCTAGTTTAATGGCTCCCAACAATCTTAAAGTTTCTCTTAAAAATGGTTTTAGCTATTGCCTTGGTCTGTGCTAATAAAGTGAACACTTCCACGGAATGTCACTGTGCACTAGAACTTGATTACCCATAGCAATAAAATACTAAAGTGGTCCCTGCTGTGTTCCCTGTGGACAGGGAAGGGATCTTACCCCTGTAATCAGCACTGGTGAGGCTGCACCTCGATTCCTGTGTTCACTTTTGGGCCCCTTGCTACAAAAAGGACATTGAATGACTCGAGCGTGTCCAGAGAAGGGCAACGAAGCTGGTGCAGGGTCTGGAGCACAGGTCGTATGAGGAGCGGCTGAGGGAACAGGGGGTGTTTAGTCTGAAGAAGAGGAGGCTGAGGGGAGACCTCATCAGCCTCTACAACTACCTGAAAAGAGGTTGCAAAGAGATGAGGGTGAGTCTCTTTAACCAAGTAACAAGCGATAGGACAAGAGGGAATGGCCTCAAGTTGCGCCAGGGAAGGTTTAGACTGGGTATTAGGAAGCATTTCTTTACAGAATGGGTTGTTAGGTGTTGGAATGGGCTGCCCAGGGAGGTGGTGGAGTCCCCATCCCTGGAGGTGTTTAAGAGTCGGGGCTCTTGAGGGATCTGGTGTAGTTGGGAATGATCAATGTTAGGTTAATGGTTGGACTGGATGATCTTCAAGGTCTTTTCCAACCTAGATGATTCTGTGAAATTCTGGTTTTGTTCTTTGCCAGCTAGCACTCTCTCAAAGACTTTCTGAGAGCAGCAGAGGAGACAACACAGACCAGGGACCATTATATATGGAGAATGGTCCCTGGAACTGTTAACTGTATGCTAGTATATGCATAGTTTCTGAAAACAGCACCATCTTGGCTACATGTCTACAGTATGTGCTTAATTTCCAACCTGCTTCTGCAGTCCTGTGAGTATTCATACTGCAGATAAGTGCCATCAGAGAAAAGACCAGTTAGTAAGAACTGCTGCCTTTGCACCCATTAACTGGATTGTAGAAACTGATGCAGAAACAAGCATGGGAGTTAACAAGCACTGTTCCTCATACAGAATCAGCCTTTGGCATGTTCACAGAAGGAAAAAGTAGGATGTGAATGTGCTAAGTATCTGAAGAAAAACAAATTAATGTGTCACAGACACAACAGGTAGTTGATACGTAACTGAAGAAAAGCATATGTGGTTTGGTTATATCAACATTTACTGTATACTGTAGTTAATTAACTATGTGCATATATGCATAGTTCAATGATTCTGTTTCTTATACTGAGTGAATGTGATAGAATGAAAACAGGCAAAACAGGAGAATGCCTTCGTAGTAAACAGGTCAAAAGGGGAGATGATCTGAGCCATTAGCTGCCAATGTTTCAGCTGAAGTTCATTGCTTTCCCAAGCTCTAGCAAGCACAGAGCGAGAGATCTGGAAGCAGTTATGTTCTTGTTCTGTCTGGATGCAGGCGTTGCTCTCAAGGAATATGCTGCTGCAGATCCAAAAGACACATCTTAAATGTGAGGTCTTCATCTGTAGACCAAAATATTGTAAACTCTTGTTCCATTTTGCTATTCCTACTTTCATGAATAAATAGTTAATTTTAAGGTGACTAGTCATTGTGTTGATCAGAGATTAAAATTGTCAAGGGAAGACTTGGGTGTCATATACAGGCAGGTGGTCAGAGATGGGTTAGTACGTGAATGAGACACTCTGAGATCCTGCACTGGTAACAGGTTAGTTCTGCTGTCTGACACCGCTGAGAGTGCGGTCAGAAGAAAGCATCACTAGCTTAGCAGTTATGAACCAAGAGGATTTAGGCTGTCTAAGCATTATTTGAACTCTGCTGATATTTTACTAGTGAAGGAAACAAATTAGCTTGCAGTAGAACTGGCAACACAGAACATTCTATTAAATTGTATCAGTTCACTGAAATTTAGTCTGATATGATTTTATTTATTGAGCATGCTTTATTTAGAAAATAATTTGTATAATTGCAAGCCTTAAAATGTGGATGCTAATTTGGCTGTGATTGGGGTCAGTGTGTTTACTGTAGACAGCTTCATTTGTGATTATTTGTCAGTTGATACACTGCTGTCCTCTGAATTTGAGAGCCACTTACACATTACCCTAATTGTGTGTACCCCATTGGACAGTAGTTTATCTGCTATGCTCCCACTAAATTGTTTTTTTTCTTATTTAATATATATATGTATATAGATAGATGTGTATATATATATATGATTTATATAAAGCCCAATCATTAACAGCTAAGTTGCCCATAAATGATTTACAGTAGTGGTGAAATACTGACTGACAGTATAGCTTGAACACTCTTATGAACAAAGTTGCAAAGAGATACTTGGCATTTGAGAGAATTTGTTGATAGGAACAGTACATCAGTCAGAGTAGAAAGTCTATGATGCGGCTGGTCATGGCATCGGAGTGCTGAAACACAGGTCTATAACAGTATGGTAAGTGGGGAGGCAGAAAAGGAGAGGTGAAAAAACAACACAGCAATACTCACATTTGCAACTAGAGGACCTTTTAATTTCCTAACTAGACCATTTCCCTTTGTGAGCTTTTCTGCTAGATCTGTGTATTTTTAGGCAAGAAGATATTGAAGGTTTCCCAACAACTGCACATGAATCCAGGCAAAAATAGTGCAAGTAGTGAGCTGAAAGTTTTGTTAACATTACATGACACTTCTGGCAGCTTTGTTAGAAGACAAGTCAAGTATCCCTGATTTCTGAACAACTGCTTTGGGTTTCCGTATAAATGCACTGAGAAAATTGACCTTTAAGGATCAAGTTTAAGATGTGTCAAAGAGATGTAGTGGAAGAGCCTGATTTACTCTTCTCTATTGTGAAAGGTTCAATCTAGCACTTCAGGAAAAAAAATGTTGAATTCATTTTCAGCTATGAAATTGAATGTGTATTTAAGATTGTTTAGCATGCATAATTTTAGACTGAGTTGTTTTGTCTGTAGTGCACCTCAACTCATGCATCATGTCTTGGTTTATATGCAGGTACATTCATTAAAACTTGCACTTGAAGGCGTGGAGAAGGAAAGGGATTTCTACTTTGGCAAATTAAGGGAGATTGAACTTCTCTGCCAAGAACACGGGGGAGAGAATAACGACCTTGTCAATCGGCTAATGGAAGTCCTTTACGCATCAGAAGAACACGTAAGTTTGAGCTTAATGTCTTTCATTTAGACGCAACAGCTTAATTTCATAAAAATTTATTGCCACAGTATTTGGTCATTTCCTATACTTAGGTCAGCAGAACTGTAGCAGCTAGGATTTTGATGCCTCCTCCCCCCAAAAGGAAGTTTGCATTTGCAAACAACAGACTTTTCACCTTGGGGGAGATATTCAGGAGGCTGGTTGCTTTTCACTACTTCACTGTACGTTTTGTATTGTAGGTTTGCTTAAGTTGATCTGAAAGGAGAGGTTGTGTGTCACAATTCTAAACTGATTTCATATGGTTCTGAGCCTTAGTTTTGTTTTTTCATCTTCCGCCTTTCTGCGTAAAGTCTTTTACTCATGTTCTTCAGTCATTGTGTCGAAAATCACAAATTCTGACAGAGGTTCAATGTCTACAGCTGTGAACCTTCTCTAGCCCATGTGGCAGTGTTGCAATATGTACGGTGCAGGTTGCCAAATACATAGTTATATCTGCAGAGATAATGCTCTCCAGCATTTTTTTATCCTGTTGATATAGGCAAAATTCTTCCTTGTGCAAACCCAATAATCCTCTACTACCAAAATTTCAGCAGTGTATTGTTTGCAAGATTAAGCAAGAATCTCATTGCATCTTAGACTTAGCACTGTCGACACTGAACAAAGCAAGAAACTGCAAAGGGTGCTGGTTAAATTCCTCAGATACATTCAGGGATAATGATTCAGTGAAGATTTAGCTGAACTACTCCCATTGATGTTAACTAAATCCCTTTATGCACTGTACTGACAATTGACTCTTCAGTCTCTAGCGGATGATGGCTTTGGCTCCAGAGAGTATAAGTATCAACTTAATCTCTCGGCAGCACTGTGGTACTGTAGGTTGTCTTGTATCTGTTCCCAGAAAGCTGTTGCAGTAGTAGGAGGCTGACTTAAAATTTTATATCAGAAGTAGTGCTGAAGGAGCTACAAACTCACATGCTTTTCTGAAAAAGACTAGTAGAGCATAAATGAAACATGTGCTAGAGGGACAGGAGCTTGCAGCTAACAGGGGCCACTGCTCAGATGAGAAGTGACAGGGGAAAGAGGATTTGTTCAATGGTGCGGGGCAAGTGCTAGAGAGGAAAAGGAGGAGGAAACCATTATTTTCACGGGAATAAACAATAAGACAAATTTGCCAGGCACGTGATAACAAGCTAAAACTTACATATATAGGGCGGTCAGAGAAAATGTCTTCTGAATTCAAGAACAGTGATTTATTTATAAAGCAAAGCCAGCAAAATCCCTCTTCTCCCCATACCCCTACCACATCTGTCTGTTTGTTGGCTTAAATAACAAGTTATTCTGTGCCAAGGAATGCATTTGTTGATTTTCTTCCTTCGGTTTTCCTTACTGACAGAACACATTACAAAACATTCTGCTTCAGTCCTTGTCCCAGTGATTTATATGCTTCCTTCCTTCAAGCCTTTCTCTGTTGAAAGCATCATCTGTGCCTGAGCAAGAACTACATACAATGACCGCACCTTTATCTAAAATGTCTTTGCAGTTGTAGGCCTGGGATGTCACTTCAGCAGGAGACTGTTGCTCCCCTAGAGAAGAATAGAGAGGCCATTCCCCATGCAATTTTTTTGTACCTTTTAGTGTGAGACTTGCTCTTCTTATCTTTTGGAGTGCATTTCCTCCTCAGCTTAGTAGATGGACTGTAATTTGCTGAGGAAAGACCTCAATGTGTTAGCACTAAACCAAAGATTGTGGTTCCCTTGCTTGTACAGATCCTGCTTACTTTTTGTTTTCAGACTTTGCTGTCTCACTGCACTGCTTTGCCTGTCAGTTCTGGGGTTTTTCTCTCTTTGTAATAAATTTTTCGCAAGTTCTATATCTCTCAGTTTTTTGCCAGTTAATCCCTCAGTAACAGCAGTTTGGCTTTCCCAGTCCCCAGATGGGAAGTAGCCCCAATTCCCAAACCACAGTCAAACTTCAGCATTCTTAGTTTCTTCCTAATGAGTTCATCATAAATCCAGCTTAGATTTTTTTTAAAAAAAAATCTCTGTTTCAGAGTGTCTCAAGTATACAGAGGCAAAGTGGAAAAAAAGGATTACATTAATTTTCAGGATTTGTGACATTTATAAATTATACTGTTGCCAAGAGGTTTTTCTTCAGGAAGGGAATGCAAAGGAATACACACAGTGCACAAGTGATCCTTGACCAAAGCCTTGTGCTTGAATATTGTGACTAACTTAAATTTGTTTTCAGTTCATACTTCTAATAACTGCCTGATAGCAGTCTCAAACTCTTCCTTCCTAGCTGTAATTTGAAAGGCATCTACTGCATTCGACACAGCACAGAGATCTTGTCCTCTTTTTCGTATCAACTGTTCTTATTCAGAAGGGACAAGTCTCTCTTTATACTTAATTTTCTGATAAGCTTAATTTAATCCTCCTACAAGAACAAAGATCAATCAATTTGGTTTCCTTGTCTTCAGAGGCTTCCTTTTTTTCCCCCGTTACGGTTCTGTTTTAAACTTCATCGTTATGCCTGTTTATGGAAGAGGGATATTGTATCTGCTAGTGTCATTTAACATTTGGCTGATCAGTCTCTAACCCTTTGTAACTTAATTACAAATTGATCATTTGTAATCCTGCTTCTTCATCAAAAACATCAAAGTTGACAGAGAATGGTGTTTAAAAAAGGATATATTTGGGTGGTGGGGAGATGTGGCCTCTACCAGTCATGTTATGACAGCATTAAGACCTCAGATAGTATGTAAAGCATTTGGTCATATGGTCTTACAGTAGGAGAGCTTCAGACAGATGAACTGGAAGAGGCTATATGTCTCATCATGAAACCAGGAGCCATGTAGGCTCTAGGCGTAAAGCAAACATGCAGGGAAGCTTTTGCTTTCTTATATAGGCTGTTCTGGTTCAGCTCATGTAGAAGTTGGGTGAATTGCTGACATTGATCCATCAGTGTTCCGAAGCAATTGCTTGAAATGTAGTTGGTTTTGCATCTTTCTGCTCTGGCAGCTACTACATAGGCTGCTGCTTTTGTGAAAGGAACCCACCCTACCAGTAGCTGTTTTTTGTAAAGTCTAGCTCTTCAGTCAACAGGCACACCTGAATAGTTTGAGGCAGGTGGATCAAAGGGTCAAAAGGGAGCACCTCCTCGTTGTGGGAGACAGAGATAACTATGGTCGTGTGATCCAAGCCAGAAATAAATGCTCTAAATAGATCTTCCATTGCTTTCCTTATTAGGGGATGCTATTCAAGGAGATTCCACAGTTCCAAGGTAATTGGGCATAGTGACTCTTGTCTTTCCCATTTCATGTATTTATACAAGTTGTATGTACTGAGAAGCACATGTCCAAGTCTTGGAACTTCTGAGGTAGTCATGTAAGATTTACCATTTCCATGAAAGGTAAGCCTGGCAAGAGAGAAGGCACCACTCTTCTTCAGAGCTGCCGAGTAGGTTCCCAAGCCACTCCCTGTGGTTAGAGGCTTTTCCTATTATATGCGTTAAAAGATAGTATGTATGTGACCTATAAAGTCTGTGTGAGTGGGCTTTCTAACACGTGTATCTCAAACTCCTGCATACACACAGAGCTTCTGGAACAGGTGTATTCCAGAGCAGGTCACCTCAAACACCTAAGGCCAGGATAGGTGGGCTTAAGGGAAGGTAGCTTGCTGCAGCCAAACAAGCTTCAGTTTTCTCACCCCGTCAGGCAGTTCTCACAGCTGCCAGCTTTCCCTCTGTGAAACTCCTGTTCTCTTCAAGTCTTGTATCCTTGCAGCCCATCATGGAAGTTGTGATTTTTAGGCACTATGCAAAAAGCTGTTTTGACTTGAGGTACCTACTGTGTAGTAAGGGCATTGTTCCCTCCAAGGGGGCCATAAGGTGATAAACTGCAGTTGTCCTGGCTGACGTGTGTGGCTTCTACCTGAAAATACCACCTGAGTGATAGAAGGCTTGTTTTCAATTGAAATTTGGCTGGTTTTGTAAACAGCTGAATATTTTAATCGTATCAGCAAACATTAGGAAACTTATTCTCCTATTCTTGACCTTTAGAAATAGGAATATTATATTGCCAGAAGGAAATTTTCTCATTGCATAAGCTGCTCTAAACTATTCTGGGAAAACTCTAATCATGGGCCTCCCTTTTTATTTTTGCCTCAAATTTTAAAACTTAGCAGTATCAAGTGGCTAAAGTTTGTTGTTCAAACTGTTCATTTCTAATGAAAATTGCTAGGAGCCAGGCTAGTTCTGCAGAGGTTCTGCATCAGCATTGCTGTGTTTTGAATGGCAGCTCAGTGTCTTGGAAAAGTGTTTTCCTTTGGAGCTGCCTACAGCAGAGCTCTACTAATGCAGGGCAGAGAGTAGATGTGGGGAATCTTTTCAGTGAACCATGCTCTGGAAAGATGGAAGACACTTGAGAGGAAAGCTGTAAATGCAGCTGTACTTAATGGGAATACAGAAGTAATGCTCTAAGAGTCAGCCAGACTTTTTGAGCTCTGACACATTTAGGCCAACTCAAGATGCCAGGTCTGTTGTCTCTAAATTGGAAATTGTTTGAAGTTGGTATCACTTGCAGTGGGGATCCAGCCTTCCCTTTGGTCAGAGATTCTTTTCCCAAGGAGAATGTGTATTCAGAGAGACAGCTCTGGAAAATACTGTGCGTAATAACTGTTTGCAAAAGGGAGGTGTTTATTGGTCATTAGTGCTTTGAACAGTAGCTCTGTCAATCAGTGAATACTGGACTCAGGTTTTTTTTCAAATAAAATGTGTTTGCAAGTCTTTGGTTATATTTTCTCGATACTGCTAAAAAATCACTGTTTTGATAACCTTTGAACTCTGGTCTGTGCTAGCATGGATATGTTATTGGGGAATGTAGTACATCTGACCTCAAAAAGGACGCTGAGTTTAATTTTTAAAGCAGGTGATATCAAAAGTGTCTTGTCCATTTAGTGATCTAAATCTAGGGTGGGGATTGTGTGAAAACTACAGCAGACAGGTTCAGAAATCCTTGGGCAAACTGAAAATGGGAGGACATCAGGATGCTATGATACAGCATCTAACTGTTGAGCATCTCACTGTCTAGCTGTTCAAAATGTTCACTTACTGGAGCAGTTAACATCCAGTGATGTTGAAAACTGACACTTTTTCTGGGGAAATATCAGTACTGCACATGCATTGTTTAAAAGTGAAGTAAATACATTTTATTGTAGTATTACAGGATGCTGCTTTTCTCGGGTAACAGCTCATTTTGTACTTACGTGCATGAAAATTTAGAAGTTGAGCTTTAGGCTGTGGCGAGCAGCATGGGGCAGGAGTACATGATGTATTTTTCTCCCTGCAGGAGAGCCACACAGAAGAGCATGAAGGTGAAGAGCAAGTCCATGAACAGCCCCAGCAGCAGGAGGAGTACTGACTCACCCAGCGTCTCTGACAATTTTCGTTTTGTGTGAGAACTTTATTCTGGAGAATGGAACATGTGCGGCCTCAAACTTGAAATCAGTTCACTCCAAGTCTGCCATTAACATTTATGTACCATAGTGAGTGCCAGCCAACCACTGCATTCTGTACCCATACTTTGCCAAGATGCATTTGCAGACGTCTTCTTTCAGTGTATCTTCCCAAGAGGTTGTAGGGCTACATCACCTACTGTACATCACTGCAACTTCACCACTTGGCTGCTTGAGATTTGTTCTGCTCTTTAAAAAAAAAATATTTATTTTTTTTTCTTTTTTGTCTTAAGTATGATACACTTGTAACTTGTTCTAACATATTTATATTGGCATTTTGTGTGGCAAGAAGTACCGTACCACTAGCTGTGTCTCTCACTTTGTGGTGCTTTCGCGTTTTCTAGTACATCTGCCTTGGGGCATAAATTTGGTTGAACAATTGGAATAAAGGGATACAGTGGAAGTCATACTCAAGCCATAATGATGAGGTGTGTTGTGGAGGAAAATGCTCGTGTTGCTCATGTTTATTCCTTTCCTGCCTTCGCAAAATGGAGGGCAGAGCATCTGTTTCACTAGGAGAGATTTAAACCCCTGTGTTAGAAAACTTGTTAGAAAGCTGCATGGTATGTTTTTTGGCTCATTTCTGGAGGAACAGACATCCACTTAAGTTTTTTTGAAAACCCTCCCAGATTCCTGACTAGTCAATAGACATTTCCCAGCTTTTCTTCCTTCCTGAGGAATCCAGTCCCAGCCTCCAGCTGCAGCTCTGCCTCCGCAGAGCTCAGTGCTGAGGGAGAAATCTTGACACAGGTATAACTGCAGGACATGATCTCTGCCATCATACTTGTCTTTCCACCCCTTAGAAGAGGACAATGTAGGCCAGCCATTTTTTTCACTATCCTTCCCCCTTCTGCTGCCCCAGCTGTACAAGTATGGAAGACAGACATTTCCTCACTAGTGCAAGGCATGAGGAAAAAACTAGCAACAGCACTAGCCTTGAACCCCCACCAAACTCCCTTTGAGTGGGTGGTGGACACCTCATGGCTGTTGAGGCTGCTTCCAGAGCACAGAGAGGCAGTGAGGAGTCCTTTTGGACAGAGAGCACACATCAGAGGGAGACCAGCTGACTGAGGGGCACAGAGCCAGTTCTGTGCTTGGTTGACCTTCCCCTGGTGAGGCTGGCATGGTGCAGAACCGTGTCTGCCCTGGAGATGTCTGCAGTGAGAGCGTTCCCTTCCAGTGCGGTCCCATCACCCTGTTCTAAATGGTGTTTTATAAACAGAAGTATCTTGAAGTATGTAAAGCATTCCTTATTTTCCTCATAAAACTGCGCATTGTAGCCTCTCTGAATAGTTAATGCTTGATATTCTTGGTCTCTCACCTGATTTTCTTAATTCTCAATTGTTACGCTGATTTAACAGGTACATGGAAGTCCAACCCCAAACAGCAGTTACTGAAAAACTCCAAAGCCTACTGAACAGCTAAATCATCTTAAACCTTTGTGGGGTCCTAAAGCATAAGTTCCCAGCTTATGCTTCCATAGAAACATTTTCAATTAACCACCCCCAGCATGCGCAGTTTTCTGTTCCTAATCAATCTTCTGCAGCTAAGTGGCTCTTAGTTAAATGTGAGATCACTGCTGTTGTGTGGCACCACAGACAATATATAATATACTGTTAAGCACTAGAACAGGTATTTCCACTTCCTTGATCGCTCCCCTTGCTCAGCAGAAGAGTTTCTGGACCCTGCGGGCTGAAGGTTTCCCAGCCCTGCCTCCAGCATTGACCTCATGACCTACCTGGTGATGAAGTGAAAGTACCGCAACCCGCGGGCCAACGCTTTCCCATTTCAATTGGTTACGAATAAGGTCTGGTTTATAAAAATATGTATATTCCGAAATGAGTATTTCCAAGAATCACCACAAATGGGGGAATTGTCATTTTTGTTGTATTTGTGTTTATTAGAACATATGTACCTATTACAATTGTCATTGTAATAAACGGTAGTTCTTCATAATACTGTTGAACTGAAGAGCAGTTACTAATTTTTTACAGTCTCCAGAATGTCCTTTAACCTGTATGGGATTTCTGATGGGGCAAGAAGTTTTGGGATCCAGGCTATAAACATAATGTCATCAACATCAGTCTCTGCCTACTGCAGTTCATCCTTCTGCTAATGCTTGAGCAGATGCATGGAGAGCATGTCAAAAGAAAATGTTTTTCTAAAGGTGCAAGTGGTTGGGTTGCTGAGCACCCCAGAGGGTTCACAGCCCGGCTGTTTGTGCCTCTCTCCTTTTCTCTCTTTGAAGCACATTTTTTAAAAAAAAAGAATTAAAAAGCTGAACTTCATTTCCTGAAAATTTCTTATATCCTGTTTCTGGTCTGAGGACTGCAGCCCTCTCACTGCTTGTAACAAGGGGGAGGTGACCGACGGAGGGAGCTGGGGCAGTAAAGTACCTCGTGGGCACTAGAAATTGGCTGCGCTGAGGGGAGAGCCATGCTCTGAAAGGGGAAAGAGTTGTCCTTCAGCCCCCACCCCTGTGAGTAACCTATTCTTCCGTTACGGTTTTAATATGCATTTGTAATTACCTTTACTAAATAGCACACCATAAAGCTTTGGTTATATATTAAATGTAAACTGAAAGGAATGTAAACATATGTATTGTTAATTATAAATAGATAAGTAATGACATAATAGATACAAAAAGTCTTATTCAGATGTATCAGTCATTTTACATTATCCACAAATTGTCGCATGGTAGAGTAGATTTTTGTCTGAATATGTGAATAACTTGACTTGCATTTATCTTTTTACATATTTAATAAAAAAATATATGTTAAAATCTGTCTAGCTCTAGAGACTATTCAAAACATTCTAAAATAATACTTTTCTGGTTTAAATACATATTTTTGTTTCATCAGTGACTGCATTTAGGAGCAGAAAGAAAAAGGCAGCTGCTTTAAAAAAAAAAAAGTTCACTTATCTGTGTAGGTAGTTATGTTTCCCTAAGAGCTCAGCAACATTATCCCCTTCCACAAATCAAAAAAGAAAATGCGCATGTAAACAGAACTTTCTTCATTAAGGTAAACGCTTTCTGATTTCAGAGTACTAAATCTCTTGTTGCATCTCAGTTTTGATACAGAAAAAGCAAAATTAGCAGCAGCCAGGAGGTGGAGAGAGTATTATAGCAAGGGCACTGAAACTCCCAGTGGACTTCTCTTGCAATTGCCAAGTATTCAGGAATGAACATTCAGTGCAGTACCTAAAAGCCACCCACATTTTAGATTAAAATATTAGGGTTTTGGAGTAAAAGGGGGAAACTTCATTGTAATTCTCACAGCTCATACTTTGCAGCATGAGCAGTGTTGCTGCAGTAGTTGCTGCTAAATCTCCAGGGCTTTGAGCCATGGGTGAGGATTTCTCTCTGCCAGGGGTTGAAGCCACATGGTTATGTTCTGCCAGGGAGCAGTCGGCCTGGGCCCCCCCCGCTGCCTCCAGGTATCCCCAGGGCTGAGGCTCAACCACTGTCCAGCACCACTTAGGGGAGGATTCTGGTAGAGGGGGGAAGATGAAGCCAGGACTAGAGCAGCCCATTTCCAACCCAGGCACTCAAGCCTAGGAGAGCAGCACTAGTTTATTTGCTTTTCATAAGACTAGGGGGCTTGTCTTTGGGCTAGTGTGAATACTCAACAGCATAAAAAAATAAGTTATATATTTTCCAGTTCAAATAGTTGAAAATTTTCTGCCATAATGTTGTGGCCAAAAAATTTATTAGATTGTTAGGTCATCTACATCTGATGGCAAAATAAATCTGTGACCGTACCACCCTATGAAATATGCATTTTTATTCCTGTTCATTGAACCAGTTACCATCTATGGGTAACAATTCAATATATACACTGTGAAATACATAATCTGTTTCTGTACTTGTCTTTATAGAGATTATAGTGGTAAGTTGCTTTAAAAAGGAAAAAGTTATTTGCCATGTCTTCATGTAGAATGTGAAAAAGCTGGCTGAAGTTTAATTTCCTTTAAAAGTGATACTGTATTTCCCTTTAGAAAGGTACAAGTGCAGGTGAGTTGCAGCGGTTCAAGTTTTATAATTTCATTTAATTAAATATTTCAAAATACTTCTTTACAGTGCATCAAATTGTGTTGCTTCTGTGACCCTTATTTCCAACTGTTTTATAAATAAGTGCAAGACGGCAGGAAAAGGGAAGCCTGTCAGCAGAGTTCTTCCAGTACAACCACATTCAATCTAGAGGTATTTTGTTTATTGTATTCTAATTCTTTTCTCATTAGGACTTCCTACAGATACTTTTGATGGATGGGTTAAATATAAACTGCTTAAATAGGTGAGATTTTTGTGGCAGTGTATCTGGTATTGGATGTAATATTTAGCTTCATCAAATAGTGAGATTGCTGGGTGCATGCCTACATCAAACTTGTTGTTCCTCTTCAGTCAGAACTGCCTTTTTTAGCAACCCTCATTAAATAAACAGCCCTCAGCCTTACTCTGAGAGAGAAAGAGAGCCCTTGGGCAGTTAGGAGAAAGGCTAGAAGATGCCTCTCCATTGCTCCAGCTGCAGCCCTGGAGCTGGACTGAACTGGAGCCTTCCTTCCTTGCAGGGCTTTTGGTAAAATCTCCAAACCAGCATTAACATCATGACCTGTGTCCTCTGCCCAACTTGAGCCTTAAGCTCCTTGAACTGTGATTGTAGTATGATGAGTAAGACCCCCCAAAAAAATCAGCCCTACCGATGTGGTAGGTCAACTGTTGTAACAGGCGATGCAAACTTAAATTGAAGCTGTTCACAAAGATATGACTAGTCACTGTTTAGCTGAAAATATTAATAGGAGCTACTGATGTAAGGGTAAGTTAACTGAGGAAAAATGATCAGGCCAGTGATAAAGCCAGAGAAATGGTCTGAGAACTGAAAAAAAAAACCAAAAAAAACACTTAAGGCTCAGCAGCTCAACTACTATGCTTTTGCTCTGCTTCTGACAAGCGAGACAATTAACCAGTTAATAAACATGCCAGTCTGTCAATCACATCTCTCTGTGCAAGAAATGTAATCTAATGCTTATTGTGGGGAAAGTGGACAGATTGTTTCATTAGTGCTTCAAGGCCACAAAGTCCCTCTGGCTAGGGCAGCGTATGAAAAGAAACGAAACTCAAATTCCTGCTCCTTCCTCCAAGGCATACAGAAAACCTACATACTACATATATTATAGGCAAAGTGAGCAGTTTACATCTGCATGCAAACATGTAATGTTTAAAAAAAGCTTTTCTTTCCTCTTCTGACATTATCGAAAACCGCAATAACTTGTTTCAAGCACAGGCAAATAATTATTTCCTTGGCATTTTGCACTCTAAATAAGGTTTGACTAACTAGTTTTGCAGTGAAATAAGAGAATCTTCAAAGGTTTGTTGGCCAAACTTATTCTCAGCTGGTTACCTTTGTAGGGTGTATTGTTTATTGCTACTGAAATATCAACACTGTGCTTGTTACTGTCTAGAAAATAAGTATAAAGGCCAGCTGCTTATGTACGGAGCCAGCATTTCTGACAGCTACAGGTCAGCTGAGATTCATCTTAATGCTGGGAAAAAAACTTCAAGAACACTTTACTGTACCCATAGCTTTCTGAGCTCATTCTCTTTTCTTCATGCATTCATTTGAGGTGAGGAAAAGGCTGAATGTGCGTAAGCACTTCAGGAGGTTGTATGGAAGAAATGAGTTATTAGAAAATAAATATGGAAAATGAAGCAGGCACAGATGTCTGAGTGGGAAGGACATACAGGGAGGGTTTGCACTGCCAGGGTCCCACTGGTGACTAGGCTGGGCAAAGTCAGTAGTGGTTATAAATCATCAAGGATCTCATGTAACCCAGCATGGATTTATCAAGGATTTTGGACACAGTGGCAAGGAGGAGGAAGACAAAAGCTTCAAACAGTAGTGACACGGCATTAATAAAGTGAATATTAGCAGCAGAACAACTTGGTAAACACTTCTCTGCTGGACGGGAATCTTCCTCTGAGATGAAGCATCTTGCTGCATAGCTCATTGTCGCAGTGGTTCGGATATCTGGGCTATTCTATTCTTTGGTTATTTTAAACAGATTAATTCCAACTATTTATCACATCAGAAGAGTTGCACATCTCCATGTCAAGTGTTACAGTCTGATCATAGTGCAGGTGTTCACTCTTGGACACGTTTCTTCAGGGAGAAGATGTAAATGTTTAAGTGCTCACTCAGCTGCCTCCCCTAAAGAGAAATCATGAAGATTAGCAAACAATTTTGCATGTGCTTCACAGTTCACTGTCTCTTCTCCCAGTCAGAGGGGGGAGGACCCAACCACAGTCCTCAGGTGCATGAGGACCTACAAGTATTCAAGCAAGAGAGCTGTGGTCTTTACGTTCCTCTTGCAGCATACTGATGGGAAGTTAAGTCACTACAGACCAGATTCACAGATGACATAAACTGTGATGGACCTGGGCCCTCTTGAATAATGGTGAATTTTGACCAGGTATTTCTACTCTGACCTCCACCAACTGGCCCATATCGATGCTGGGGTAAAATCTACTACAATGCCAATGTCTGCTGACAAAAGGCCTCTTCCAAAGGCAGGAAGAAACATCCTTACGTCCCAACAGTGTATCGTAAATAAAAGAATGCTGACCAGATCCCTGTGAAATGAGATCTTTGCCATGCAGAATGTTTTACCTGAAAGCAAACCCCCATTAAGACACTTTGCTAAGGATTGTTTGACAATGCTCTTTACAAGAAGGGGCATTAAATAAGAATAAACGAATTTAAGCAGTAATTTAGATGACAATAAATGACAAAACTGATACCTAGCAGACACAGAAATGTGCTGGTAAGACTGAATGAACTAGAAAACCATTCATGTCTCCAGCTTGGGAGATGCTAATAGAGGGCCAAGAAAATACTAGAAATTGGGACAGCTATTTTGCTTGATGATTCAAAGTAAAGTTAACCTCATTTTGTTAATTCTATTAATTTCACTTTGCATATTACCTTCCTAATTTTTTTCAGTCAAGTAACCTCAGGAAGAAGAAAGGGAAAAAGGTTGGAAGGATTTGTGCCATGTGGGTCAACTGATATATAAAACCTGTCCATAAATATTCTGATTGTGATGGGTTTAAAGCCAAAACCAGTCAGTTACATTGAAATAATTCAAGTCAGTGAAGTTGCTGCATGTGTGAAAAGGCACTGCCTGTAGTAAACTTTTTTTTTTTAAACTGTAGACTAAATAAAACAACACCCACCAAAAAAAAAGTAACTGAATGTTCAGATTCCTAGACACTGCCTCAACTAGATGGTGTAGAAACTGTTCCCAGGCCCCATCTTCCTCCCTGCCCCAGCGCAGCTTTCCTGTGGCTGCTTTGGAGGTGCCTACTCACCACACAGACCCCATAGTGCACGTGGGCAGCTGTGACCAGTGCAGTGAACACGGCAAGCACCACTTCTTCTGTCCAGCCCAGCAGCCCGGAGATGGCTGCGTAGACCACCAACGCCAGCGGGAAGAGGAACCAATGGAAAAGCTCTGGCTGGGTGCTGCTCATCTGGCAGATGATCACTTTGCACTGTCAGAGCAAAAGGTGCCAGGTGAGAAGCGCTGGGTCAGCCTGAGGGTCTAGGCAAAAGTACATCCATTTTCTCTGCGGGTTGCTTTTAATGAGGGGAAAACAAGGCTAGAGTTCAAAATGGGGCTTGTTTCTGGTGAGAAGACTACTATAGATACACCTTTGTGCCTCATTGTCTGTGAGTCTTAAAGGACTTCATTACAATTAATTTAAAATACATGCTGCTTTTCTGGAGACAGTGCTTTGACACATTTTGCTTTATAAGCTGAAGCACATCTTCACAAAAGGATAGTTTGACACTTTATGCTGACACACAGGCTCGTAAAGTTGTGATCCCAAATCAAATGTGCCACCACTTAATCACTGGGACCATGTACTGGTATTTTAATCACACGGCGTGACAGAAATATATTCTGGTTCATTTTGAAGGGAGGGAAGGTAATATATGCCACTTCTAAATCCTGTTTTTCTTTTCTAGCACTCCTTCGTGTACTAAAACACCATTTTCTTGGCTCAATCATGGCAGTGAACTCCCTGGAGATGTGGCTGGGGGCCCAGAGAAAAGGATCCCACTCAGAATGGCAGAAAAAAATTAATATATGGTGCGTAGTTTAACTGAAAACAATTAGCTTAATTTGACTGAGTTCTTGAAACATATTGAGATGAACTCACTTGAAGTTCAGATTTTTAAACCAGTTAAGCACACCTAAGTGTTTTTTACCTGATTTAGACTCCCTAAGAAATATGTCTCATATATACCATGCCCTTTACAAAAAAATAAAAAAGAATTTAGGCATATCTGAAATATTTTATCGATTTAAGTTTCACTCAAAATTTAAATGTGGTTAAAAATAGATTTTATGTATCCTGAAAAGAGTAGAAGAATGAAAAATTCATTCCCTGTGCAGTGCCTGAAATCTTATGACAGCAGCACTAGGAGTCTGACCACAGGGAAAAAAATACTGGCTTTACTGTCTGCTGTGGAACCTAAAGAATGCAAAAATAAACCATGAAAAAATAATTAACTTTCAATAATGCAAGAAGTAAGCTTTTGTCCCTAATGTAAATACTTTTGCTTACAATGCATTATCAGTATTGATTATGTATTTTTTGAGTAACACTACTTTTATGAGGCCTTTGGGAATCATTCCAGAGGGTATCAGAAATTGCTGAAGCAATCTATATGCTATAATTTTTCTGGCTGAATAATTACACCTGTCCAGAAGTTGGATTTCACATTGTTTTAAACCATTATTATACCACATTAAGTACGGTACTTAATTTTTCATAAAGATTGCTTATTAATATTTGGAGTGATTCACCTTCAGTGTATCATCACAGGACTGCAAAATGGACTATGCTCTGCGCTCCTCCCTCAATTCCTTATTCCCCCTGGTCCTGAAGCACTGACTCACACTACAAGTGAGGCAAAAACAGCATTAGGAGATGAAAGCGCTGGAGTCTGGAGAGGCAGACTGCAAAGAAGAAGTAAAGCTACGGGACTACACCCTCGCCTACACCTTGCAATGCTGTCCTGGCCCCGCTGCATTTAAACCTCTAGCAGCTGTGGTTTGTGCCCCAGGGTAGGTCCTTAGCATTGTCTCTCTTTACCATCTATCTCCCCTGCGAGGTTCCTCATGAAGCACATCCTGAGTCTGAGCTGCCCCTGCTCGTCAGCCGGCCACTATGTCAGTCCTGCTATGGTGATGGCTGAAGGTCCTCTCCGTGGGACCTACCCATTCTGTCCCCTCCACCTGGACTCAAACACATGCTTCTAAGGGCCTCCTAAGTGGGAGTTGTGACAGTTGTGCTCCGTGGTGATTTGCCCAGACCTGGGTATTTCTGAGAGTTGCCCGACAAGCAAATCTCAAAGCAAGGTTTGAGCTTCTTGGTAAGAGGGGTGGCCAATCCACAGGCAGTCCCGCTGTCAGCTCTGGGGACAGGGGAGAGAAGTCCTCTTCTCATGGATAAGCAGCTTTATTTTTTTAGGTCTTGGAGGCCTTCTGGACTTAGGTTAGCCAAAAATTATGGAAATGGTCTGTCCTTCTGCCTGCTTCCAGGAGGCCATCACCTTCCCTACTTCTCCTGAAATTGGATGTCTACAAGGCCAGGTCTGAGATCAAGCGTCTAGCCCAAGGGATCTGCTGAGCAACTAAAGACGTTGTCAAAGGCACGAGAAGTTCAAAATACTGGCAGGTAGAGAAACATAGGCTGCAGTTTGTGGTCTACAGAAAAGATAATGGAAACCCAGTGTGTCAGACTATCATGAAGAAGAGCATTGCTATGACAAGCCTTACTCTGATGCTGGAGGAATTGTGTGTGTAATAAGGGACCAGAGGAGGTGAAAGGGAAGTACAGGCTTGTTTTTCACTTTTAAAATGTTATAAATTCCAACTAACACCCATACATTTTTAATGCTTGGCTTTTAAAATGTTAATAATTCCCACTAACATGCATACATTTTTAATTCAGGCAAACCTCTAACACTGCAGTAGATGTTTCACTAAAGTCGAAAACAAGGCCTGAAGAATATGCATTGCACTCAGTGTCTAATGAACTGCAGTCTACAAAGAAACTTCTGGTTTGCCTTACTATTTTTCTTCTGCAAGCATCCTACCACAATTGCTCTCAGTTAGTTAAGACATATATGCAGAACCTGCCATTTGCCAAACTCTGAAAGCACTTTTCCCCACCAGTATGAAATAATTATATTTCTCACTTAGGAATCTACACTGTTCTCTTAAGAAAAGGGGGTAGATTAGATAATGAAAAACGCACACAATAAACCTCATACATCTGAAAATAACTTCTGTGAGGTTAAGTCCTTAAAATGGAATTTTTTGATTTGTGCCCCTCAGAAATGTACATTCATAGGATACATCTAGCAAACACTAGAATTTCTTTTGTGTTCCTGAATGCAAATTTACAGCAGGGTTATGCTTTCTCTTTTAAAATCCTGCATTTTCAAAGATCTCTCTCATAATGCAAGACACTGCAAGACTCTTTTTAAATTGGATGCAGTCTTGCTCACTGACACCATTTCAGATGGTGTTGGAGACTATCTTTCTAAAATGACAATTGGCACTATACTTTAGGGTAATTTAGCATTAACTCGAGGAACACCTTTCTTCTTGGCTGCAGCTCCCTTGCCTCTCTCCTGGCAAGAAAAGAGGTAAATGGCCTCCTCCAGAGAAGAAAACCCTGGATTAACTGCAGTGCTCAGCATTACTGTCTGGCTGCCCATGTTGTTACTTCACCAAGGTTTATGTTGCCTCATAGGCATTAAAAGGGGGAAATTGATTACAATGACTTGGTACAGGAGAAACTAATCTGTGAGAAAAGAGCTATCACAAGGCCCCAGCATCTCTTCACTTCTTTCCTGGCTTGTGTCAGCAATAGCGTGGCCAGCAGGGACAGGGAAGGGATCTGACCCCTGTACTCGGCACTGGTGAGGCCGCCCCTCGATTCCTGTGTTCAGTTTTGGGCCCCTCACTACAAAAAGGACATTGAATGACTCGAGCGTGTCCAGAGAAGGGCAACGGAGCTGGTGCAGGGTCTGGAGCACAGGTCGTACGGGGAGCGGCTGAGGGAACTGGGGGTGTTTAGTCTGGAGAAGAGGAGGCTGAGGGGAGACCTCATCGCCCTCTACAGCTACCTGAGAGGAGGTTGCAGAGAGCTGGGGATGAGTCTCTTTAACCAAGTAATAAGTGATAGGACAAGAGGGAATGGCCTCAAGTTGCCCCAGGGAAGGTTTAGACTGGATATTAGGAAGCATTTCTTTACAGAACAGGTTGTTGGGCATTGGAATGGGCTACCCAGGGAGGTGGTGGAGTCCCCATCCCTGGAGGTGTTGAAGAGTCGGGTCAACATAGCACTGAGGGATCTGGTGTAGTTGGGAACTGTCAGTGCCAGGTTAACGGTTGGACTGCATGATCTAGGTCCTTTCCAACCTTGATGATTCTGTGATTCTGTGAAACGCTGTTAGTGATACAGCCTTATTCTGAACAGTGAAGGGAGAATGTAGGATCAGCTGAACTGCAGGATACAGGCTACAACTCCCCCTGCTCTTGCTGGTAAATCTGTGCCTGTGTTGAGCTTTCTTTTAGTTTAGATAAGTCCCCAGTTCTGCCTATGTGTTGGGGAATATCTGTTCTATTTCTGGAAGTAAGGCCTCCCTGGGGCTGTTGGCAAAACGCTGGAAAAAAAGAACCCTCATAATGTTATGCTGTGATAGGGTAGGTATTGCAGTACTGTAAGTGTCCCTAGTCCAGACAACTGCTGTCATGTTTTTTCATATGAGTCATATTTTTCATATGCTGTCATATTTTTCATATGAGAGAGGATAAGACTGAGGTAGAACAGCAGTGTGCTTCTGCTTTTAACTAGTTTCTGTTCCCTTCTGTTTCTTCACATAAAAATAGAAAACTATCTCTAAATACTACTACCACCACAAACATACTTACAATAACGTTTGAGAAAGCAACCCCAACCATCCATAAAAACAGTCTTGGTTGCTTTGCTAATATGTTGGCCGGAGATAAAACCACCCAGACTGTAAGAAGAATGAACAGCAACAGAGGTGACACAAGAGGTAGGAGTCCTTCATACAAAGAATCATTCTTCAGTGTTTTCTTTAAATGTGCTCTGTAAATAAATACAATTATTTTATGCAGTAAGATAATTTATCCATTCTATTTCCACACAGTAGTTTCAAATTCTAGCCTGAACTTCAGCCTAAGAATTCATCTTGCAACACAACTACCTGTGCAAATGTGCTAGATACCTAGACATTTTACAAGAAATTGTAGGATACCCAAGTAACATTTATTTCTGGGATAAAAATATATACTTTTATTCACATAGCTCCTGGTCAGCTTCACCAGCTCATCATTACACACAAAGTGAGCTGCAGTAGCTCCACTGTTGTAGTCGTCATCCAAATGCATAGCATGCAGGCTTGCTGTGAATTCAAAACACTTATTTTTTAAAGGATGAAACTTCTGACATGAGGCATGAAATGACTTCAGTCAATCTGCCCCACATTTTCAGTGGCAACACAGTCACGCACATGGCTGGCAGGTGTTGCTGTTGTTTAGGTCTAGAGATGATGGTGCTAGACAATCCTGTACCATTGCCAAAGTACAGTCTAAAGAAGAGGCTTTTTTTGCCAATTAGAGTATAGGAAATTTAATGCTGCAGTGTGTGTTCTCTTGGATATTTTATGCTGTCTTTTAAAGGCAGTACTATTAAAGGTAGTAAATGACTGAATTTTACATCAGCTAGGCAAAAGGTAACTGTAAGATCAATAGCTTTTGCATCTATCTTGCATCTTTCTCACTCAGGCAAAATTCAGAGGTGATAAAGGGAGTAGGAGGTTTAATTTACTAAAGTTCACTATCATTAAACCATTTATTCACACCAATAGTTCAGAAGAGTAATCCTGTGTTTGAAGTGTACTGGGAAATGTCCTGTTTAAAATCTCCGAACATCTGTACTTAGAGAAACAGCTAGACAAAAATCCAATGCATAACTTTCTCATCCAAAAAATAATATTCTTTTGATAAAATAACAACTGAGAACAGGCAGCAGGATGAAGAAAGAGAGGAGATGACTGGAAAACTCAAATCCCTCATCACCAAATAGCTTGTGTATGTGCATCCATCAAGAAAACCTGACTAGATGTTTAAATTTACTGTGCTCTTCTGTTCAGAGGAATGATAAACCCACCGGAAGGCTTGAGAGAAACTATGTTGAACGATGACTTGAAAAGGAAAACACTAAACAAAAGTCCTGACATGAGAGGAAGGACAGCAAAAACTACATGTTCATCAGGGTAAATGCTGCTCCTGCCAGGGGCTGACATGCCCAAATATGCTGTCCTCCTTCTCCCAGGCTTCCCTAAACCAGAGACCCTTGCACCACTGGTCCCAGTCCCCTCCTGTTGCTGCTCCCAGCACCCTACCCCAAAGCTGAGCCTTTCTGCAGCTCCTCAGTCATTCCTGCTCCACATGTCCTGACTCTCCACTTTTCCTGCCCCAAACTCAGGGCTATTTATGCTTTTATTAGCGCCACTATACTGTGACATGAAAAAGGGCTGTGTAGGAGTGATGCATTATTGTCTTATAGTGTCTCCAAATTTAAAATGTTGATACTAATTTCCACTGTTTCCTGATGACAGGAAATGACAGTCCCTCCTCCAGGACACTTAGGACCCGAGAGACCTGACATGACAGATGAGTGAGCTAGCAAATACTAGTGGAGGAAGGCAGCATTAATAAAAATAGCCAGTTGGAGTATAAACTAGCTGTATATAAAATTCCTCGGTGCAGCAAGCCAGCTCTTAGATGTAATCACAGCTTGCACCTGCCTAGCTTATATCTGATGGCAATTATGCGCAGACTTCATATGGAGGAGAGTTTTACACGGGATCTGGAAGACAATAAAGTACCTCATGGAGTGCAGGATGATTGGCTACAGAATTTTACCTAGCACAAGTAGAAGTTACAAATCACATTTGACTGCAGATAAAATGCAGTATTTGTTACTACAGAGTTTTCATCAGTTTACTGTGCAGGACCAGTGTGAGACTGCCTGGAGAATGGCAAGTGAAAGGAAAAGAAGTTATAAATATGGAAAAGAAACCAGTCAGATTCTGAAAATTGGCCAGCATTACTACATTATCAAGACAACATCTGGCTGAAAGAAGCTAGGCTACTTCAAGCATTACATTTATTTCTCACGTGAGGAAACCATTAAATAAACAGAATTAAATGGGAGGGGATAGAATTTATTTAATGTTAATTAACTTACCTGCGAATGTTGTATAGTGTTTGTGGAAATGAAAGAAATAAACTGAAACCTGGAAGAGAAAACAATTCATATGTAATGATACACAGTCCTGCTACAGTGGTGACCTCAGAGTTTTCTCATATGATAATAGAGCTAGCATGCTATTTTAAAAATTATTTGGTATTCCTGTCCTCACTACAGGATATGAACTGCGTTTGGTGGCTTTAGGCAATAACAAAACCTTCCTCATATTTCCAGAAGTTATCTGCTAGAAACAGTTGCTGCTTCAGAAGATACAGATCTTCTTGTGTAATGCATGACAAGACAGAAAGATTTTTAAAAATTCAGATGTAGTTAGAAGGTAGGATCAGTTATTTGTCATAATGGTTAATTAATAATATCATTGTCCAATCAGTGATTGTCCTCTGCTTGACACAAGAAAGATCACAGCCCCATTTTGCATGAGCTGTTCTTTGTTTAGGTAGAAAAAAGACAAGTCTGACACCAAAAGCCTTCCCATGGAATATGTGAAGACAATTAACCTCAAACAAGGGCTGCCCACATTACTGGGAAATAACAGGTTTATAGTTCAATATACTAAGGGTCAACTAATGATCTGCTTTGCTGATACAATAGCTGAAATGAATTAATTTTCATGATGTGGCCATCATTTGAACGAGTGAGGGTTTTTTACTATTTTTTTTAAATACAGCTGTGACTTCTGGAGCTCGGCTTTAACCCACACAGGACCGGGAATTTTCCTTTGCTAACACTGTGTCTGTCTGCACTGCTGCTGGTGTTACCAACACAGCTGCCCACAGTCCTAGAGATGCCTGAAGACCCAGTTGTACCCTGTCTAACACCCACATCCAAAATATGTTGGTCCATCCAAGGGCCGAAGAAGACCTCCAGCAAGAACTGGAAGTCTGAAGTTTAAACAAAAAAGCCACAGTATCAGTCAGCCTAAGTGGGTGAAAATATAAGTAAATCTATTTAAATGTTTCCCTGTAGAGCTCTTTGGTTTTGGTTTTTTTCCCCCCACATTCTGTGTATCAGGGGTTTTTCTCTGGTCTGCTTGCTGTTTGGAGATTGCTCTGGGTAACATATTTCTGCCCAGCTTTTATATTATAAGGCATAAAGATTGGCTCTGGTGCACTAAATACATAATTCCTATTTTGTTATGGGCAAAAAAAGCACTCTGATGTTCTAAACCTTCTGTTTTTACCTTAAAAAACTCTCATTTAAGAAACACAGTGTACTGTTTATACAGAAAAGTAGCAAAGTTTAATCTCATTATTGGAAATAAGGAAAAATAAGAATGAATAGAGGAAAGAACTCATTTCAGATGACACTGTACTGGGGCTAACGTGGCATAGCAGAATCTTGAGAAATGTCACTGTTTACCATTCAGGCCTCATCAAAGACATACCCAAGTGTTTAGCACACTCTGGCCACAGTGGCAACTCGAGGGAAGGAAAACTTAAAAAAGCAAGAACAGTGGAGGTCTGAAAACAGAAGAAATAAAAAGGGATGCAATACATAATCTACTTCTTCAATCTTTCTGGTTATCTTTTAAAGAGGAGAAAACAAAGAACTGGGGGAAAAAAAATAATATCCACTCTGTAAATAATTTCAGGTATTTCATTTTTACATGTTTACTTCCTGGTTTTGCTTTTCAAAACAAGTAAGATAAAGAGCTCTGCTTCTTTACCCTGGCAGAAATTCCATATCAGACAGCTAAAGGATGTGAAATTGAAGTAATATACACCAAGTATCTTGTAAATATATTTCTAAAATTCACAAGCTCAGTGGCTTCAGAGTGATCTGTGTTGAACGTGCACTCCGGTTGGCTATGTTTTCTATTAGGCAGGGAGGGCTAGTTCAATAAAACCTTGAGTTACGTACAGCAGTTCCAACATCTGTATCACATTAGAGCAGACATGAGACAAAACACTGACTCTTGAGGTTAAATCTAAATTTCCTGCTGCAATCCTGAAGTTTGATTTGTTAGGAGAAAAGCAACTGAGAGGAACAGAAATAGAGACCAGAACTAGAAATAGAATTCAAAGAGCAATGGTTGCCAACAATTTGTTATTTTTATGAAGTGCCATTTTAGTTAGAAATAACACACTGACCACAAACAATCCCCCAGCTAGCTAAAAGCCACTTTCCGAATGGGGCAGTTACACCAGTTACTCCTCTGTATTTTTATACGTCTTTGCTTTTAGCAGAGAGCTGAGGATGCAGTAGGGAAAGCAAAGGGTGTTCCCCTGTTTCTTATGGGATTTTCAAAATTCCATCATTTCCTACATGTTGCTTTCCCATCTTTTTTTAGCTAAAGAGGCCTGACTTGGGGGCTGCTTTTGGTACTCATTAAGTCTGCTTTTTAATTGGCATTAAGGATCCCTTTGTGCCCAGAAGCTAAACTGCTGCTTCCGCATTGTTGCCATTCTCTGCTGGTCTGGGGAACAAAAGGTGCAGCCTGGAAAGCAAACCCACTGCTGTCTCTCTGGCCTCAGCCACCCAGGCACTGCCCCAGCGATGATGACTGAGCTTGGGGTTTTTTTATGTCCTAAAAGCACAGATTTTATTTTAAAATCATTTCAAAAACACGGGTTTAGTGTATTAGATATTTTTAACACATTACAGAAAACAGAACTCATCAAGTGTTTATTCGAAGGATGACAACTCCTCCAGTATTTTTTAATTTCTGCTTTAACATCTTCCCCCATTTTCCAGCTGGTTTAAATTTTGAGACCCAACTGTAAGAAAACAGGCCTGTATTAAAGGCAGAAATACCAAAGCACAGATGGGTGGCACAGTTAACACACAGGGAATGCTTGTGTCATGCTGGGTTGAATGTAGCAAGACCAAACCCTCAGATTTAGGTACAATCCTATGGTCAGTCCTCTGCCTTGCACTACGTTGACTGCCTTTTCAGAGAAAGCTCTTTATCAGGAATTATTTTGTCCACATTAAAAACCAACCAACCAACACCCAATGTATTAAAGAATTCAGGATTAGCGATGTGTCAGAAATAAAGGTATATCTTGTTTTTCAAATACTTATATATATAAACCATATATATAAACACAGAGATACAGAGATACAAAAGATAATTCCATCAATTCTAGTTACAACTTTAGATTTCACTTGATGCTTTCAAATTCATTTCCAAAACTCTAAGATGTTCCCTGCAACATACTGCTGAGTGAATTAAAAAAAAAAAAAAAACAAAAAAACAAAACACACCACCAAACCCACACCAACCAAACCAAACCAAACAAAAGCTGGAACACGATGGATATAGTACATTTGTCCCCTGTGTTAGTCTAGACTAACAGTAATGTATTTAAGTTTAGTTACATGAGGACATCTTAAACCATGCCCTAAAGACTACTGAGGGCCTGCTGACAGCCAGGTTACGCTTCTGTGACAGTGCTCAGTTACTTAGTGTGGCTGCTGTACCTGAATTAATTTAGGCATTTCTGCAAAATACAGACTTGCTCATTGTAGAGAAAGAACAGATATGGCCAGAAACAAACTGCTGACACTACTGTCAGTTCTAGAAAACGCTATTTCAGTAACCAACAGAAGAGCCCCACGCTAGCAGTCAAAGGTAGAAAGCCTACCACTAGCAGACAGGTTCCTGAATACACCAAACTTCACAGACTATAAACACCACTAAATAAAGAAGCAACTCCAAGCAGACAGTCAAAACACCTAAACCACTCTTTTAAAACAAATTATACTGCTTCAAAGGAAGGACAACATTTATCTTAGCTGTTTATCTTCTCCACACTTTTGCTATCATAAATCATGTTTGTTGGTACATTCCTGACAAGTGAACCATCCTTAAACTGTCCTAAGAAAAGCACTGAAATATTATTTATTAAGAATTGGCTCTTCCTGATAGTTGAAAGTTCAACAATAAGACAGTGCAATACAGGGATGTAATTTTAGGTGAACACTGCACTGGAAACTGGGAATTCATTCAGGAAAGTCCCCTTCCATCCCTGCTATGCTTCACCAAAAAAAAAAAAACACTTCCTAGAGCATTCCTCCTATTTGGGAGGCACTGAAGAGGTCTGTGCAGACCTTCTCCTGGGCATATTGCAGAAGTTGAGCTCAGTAAAGATCAACTCTTTAATGGCAGGCAGTTGTAGTTGCATTTCACCCTACCCATGAAATACGATCACCCTCCTCTCTTGTTCTTCAGTTGGCCATGCCTTCACATGGCCTTCTTCAGTATACTGCTTGGCCTTTCAACCTCTAGGTTAATAATTCACAGTCAATGCTTGGTTTAAAGAAATAGGATGTTATCATTTACCTTTCTTAGCCACCAAACAAAAAATTAAGATTAAAAATATTTAGGTCTCAATATTAGCTTGGAAAAAAATCTTGAAATCCTTTTTCCATGTTTTTTTCCAAATTTCTTTCACATTTAAAGCAGCTAGACACATGAAAATATCTTAACACACTGAATGTTTGGCATACTGATCAATGTCTGGAAGCAAGCTGCAGAAGAAAAAAAAAACAAAAAAAACACGTTTAGAAGCACTTGTAACTGAAACAGCAGCTTTTTATGGAACAGTGTGATTTTCTCAGGCATGTCTTGAGAAGACAACTTTTATTTGGTTGCGCAAACAGATAATTGCATATAAAGCTGTCCACTAACTACAAAATTACATTTATTATTATATAAAATGGCAAACTTAGAAACACTTAGTAATTGAAAAAAAAAAAAGCTTAGAAAATGATTATATCGTTTTCAGGCTCATTTGAACCTGTGAAGTCTGAATATATTAAGCAATTTAAGGACAGATGAAAAATACACCCCAACAGATCTGCACAATATAAAATTATTTTACCGGGATTAAGAGCACAGTGTAAACACGAGCACTGTCTTCATGAACAAAGTTGATGTACATTTTGGATGTTTAGCATCTAAGTCACTTCTTGAGTATAAAGATTGTAAAGGGACACATTTATCATGCTTATTGATTTTATAGCTTATTTCAATGTCTAAAGTAGTACACACTGCATGTATCTCTCTTGAACTAAGCTGTA